GAACGCGGTGAAAAATTGAAGGAACTGGAAGCTGCTTTAACGGCACAGCAGCGCTTTTTCACCGCGTTCGTTCCCAGTTAGCTTGTTGTAGTTAGCATGTTTCGTCTGGTAGTGCCTCTTGATACTGAATTCCTTGAAAACAGCCACAGTCTCTTGGCAAATTAGGCAGACACAGTTGTTTCGTATTTCAGTGAAAAAATACTCCAATTTCCTCTTGTCCTGGAAGCGGCGGCCCTCGCTGTCAACTTTCCTTTTTTTAGTTACAGCCGCCATTTTAGAAATGGGCACACACGCCTTGTGTCACAAGGGTCACGCGGCAAGAGTGCTGACTCAGGTCTACTGCCATCTTCTGGTGAAATATAACCACCAGCCTTGAAGGAGCAGGAGGCAGCAGGGGACAGCTGCTGGAACCGCTGTGCGGTGAAGGGAAAAACGCCGGCCGGCGGGGATGAGTGACAGGCTGAGCCGGCGGGGAGAAGAGGCTGCGGGCCGCTCGAAATTTGAAAACGGGCCGCAATTGGCCCCCGGGCCGGACTGTGGACATGCCTGCTCTAAATGCCTCACATGTAGCCGTTTTGGACTAATTTCCCAGGCCTTCTGATCACTTTGCTATGCCCCCAGCCTTTGTGTTTGTATGTTTGTGTTTGCTTCTGTGCTCAACCAAGCTGTACTTTCTTCTATCCCCTTCTGATCCATTAAGGGCAGGGAAGGAGCGTAGGAAGAATGCCGAAAGAAGTCCAGGGCCATGCCCTCTGGCCTTTGCCAATGACCTTGCTGGCCAGGTGAATGACATGGAAACCAGAAGGTTAGCACACCTACTTGGCCATGTCCATCACCGCTCCTTTTTGCCTCCGCTGCAAAAAGAAGACCCAACCGATCACCAATGAGCCTTCTCAAATGGGGCTCTAAGGAAAGCGAGTGTTTTTGACAGAAGTGCTCTCTGCTTTATGCAAAGTTTCCCTCTCTAGGCTGTTTTTTTCCTTTTTTATATAAAGGCTGTCTGAACAAAAGGACTTGGCTGATCAAGCTCTACCAAGAAGAGCATAACAAAAGGGACAGCCAAAAAGTCTTACTAGCTCGATGACAAGGTTGATCAAGGGCACACTGACCCCCGATGCCTCTCTATCTCAGCTATTGTTGCTACTTAATGAAGTGTGGAACCCTGCAAAGGCCACGTACATAGCAGTAATCCTTAATACAACTTTGCTCTGGTGAAGTGGTGTGTTGTGGAGGTGAGGGATTGCTTCTCAAGTCACCTTGTGAATTTCTAGAGCACGTGCTCAGCAGAGGCTCCATTCTCCAGCATCTTCTTGTCTAGAAAGGAGGAGGACTCTGTAGTCATGGTGTGTTTGCATGTGTCTTACTCATTTGTGTGTGCAGCAGCCCCTCTTCTGCAGCAAACTCAGTCTGCCCAGGTGGTTTCATCCAGCCTTGGCCAGGCTTCAACCTGCTTCTCTCATTGCATCATGTCCCACTTAGTAGCCCTGCCTTCTTCCCTGTAGCTTTCCTAGCTAGAAGAAGGGCACTCCTTTACCCCCAGAGGAAATGCATCAATGAATATGGGACAGTTTTGCCATATTTTGTGTCATGCTGGGTGAGAGTAGTGTGGTACACTTTTGAAAGAGGGGCACTCATCATGACAGCCGCCAAAGGAAAGGCCAGCTGAAGGAAAAGGCAAACACAAGCAACTGTCTTGATTCAGACCAACAAACCCATTCCAGTGGGCGGCATCTTGACCGGAAGCTGCTCATTTACAATGCTATTTTATTGTAATTGCACATTATGCCCTCCAGGGTGATGTGGTGCTCCCTCAGTCTCTCTCTCATGAGAAGGGAGGAAATATTTAGACGGGCACAGCTGTCCTTCTAAATTTCTTGGAGGACAAAGGGAGTGGGAGGTGATCTTACCCTTCATGCTCCTCCCACCTTCCACTGGACGCTTGCAGTCCTCCAGTGAACAAAACCTCAGCTGGGCCAACAACTTTGAAATCTGCCCACCTCAAATTTTAGACCAAAGGAGAAGGAATGGGTAACGATGGCTGGAGATGGGAGTTTGTTAAAAAGGGTGGAT